AGGGGAAGGCAATGGCAAACCTCTGAACAAATCTGGCCAAGAAAACCCCATGATAAGCCTTCCCTTAGGGTCACCATAAGTTGAAAACTACTTGAAGGCACGCAAGTCTCCACTGAGCAAAGAAACACAGAGGATTCCAGTGGGCCCTCCACATTTGCTGGGGTTAAGTAGACAGGACCTCTGTGAATGTGGGAAAACTGCAAATTTAAAAAACCCACATTTTTTTACCTGAGAGAATACCTCTCTAGGAATCTCTAGGTCCTCCAGTGCAACTGTGAGGTCAATATCAGGTGGAAGTTGACCGTAGAATCATGCTGGAGGACCTACAAATGCCTGGAGAAGTGTTTTCTCTAGGAATCCAGATCCTCCCCACACTGGAGGACCTAGAGATACCTAGAGAGAACATATCAATCAAATCAGTGAATAATCAAATCTATAAAAGTCAAAGTCGCAGATGTGGAGGACTGACTGTACTTTGGTCCAAGGCCAGTCACAGTCTCTCAGCTTTACCTACCTTGTGGAGGAGGAAAGCCACTTTGAGCTTCTTGGAAGAAAGACAGCTAATATATATAACTAGTAACCTCCTGTATTTGCAGAGAAGTAGCCCCATTAATCTGTTGGAGGAGAGCGAACAAAGACCAAACCAGCATCTTCAAAAGATTAGGGTGCTTTTGAATGAGGAATCTGCAGTTCACAGGAATTTTATGAGGGATCATAGAATCATAGAGTTGGAAGAGACCACAAGGGCCATCCAGTCCAACCCCCTGCCATGCAGGAACTCAAAATCAAACCATCCCCTACAGATGGCCATCCAGTCTCTGCAGCCCACAAAAGCTTATGTTGAATAAAACGTGTTTGTTCTTAAAGTGCCAAAATACTTTGCTGTTTTTGCTTCATTAAATTAACTTGGCTCTCTTCCCAAACATCTTCAGACACATGCTAACAGTATGGTCTTAATTCCCAGAGCTAGCTTGCGTGGTAGTGTTAGGATTTGGTGGCACTGCCCTTGTGTCAATGGAAAAGAGACCAGTGGTGGGAGTAAGAGCTCTTTTCTACACCTTGAAAGCTCTGCTGGTTGAAAACTGCCAGTGGTGTTGCTCTTGCTAGTGGTCACTGTGGAAGAACCCCAAAGGATGTGTTTTGGACACCACTGAGGTGCAGATCTGAGAGTCAGGATAGTGTAGTGCAGGGGTAGGCAACCTTTCCCCTTTAATTGCCGAGGGACTTCAGCTCCCAGAATCCCAGGAGCTATTGGCCAACATGGGACTATTGGTCAACATGGCTGAGGCTTCTGGGAGCTGAAGTCCCTCGGCCCTTAAAGGGGAAAGGTTGCCTACCCCTGGTGTAGTGGTTTGAGTGTAGGGGATCATGGTTATAATCTTCACTTGTCCACAGAAACCCACATTCTCTCAGTCTCAGTGGAAGGCATGACAAATCTGAATAAATCTTGCCACGAAAACCCAGCAATAGTGTTTCCATAAGTCAGAAAGGATTTGAAGGCACACAACAACAAAAGGAAACCACCAGTAGGATTCTGGCGTTGATCTATTTAAAGGCTAAAATATTAAAGTACCACCATTGTTCTCATCTAAAATTTCAGTGAAGCCAATTACCTTTACTTTTCTTTAGCTGTGGAACAGGCACATTAGGAAACATCTGTTCAGTTTTTAAGAAAATTCTTAATTCTGTTAAATTTTGTTTAAAAACAGAAATTACCCTGTGGCGAATCTATCAAGAGGTTTTCCTGGCAAGATTTGTTCAGAAGGGGTTTGCCATTGCCGTCCTCTGAAATTGTGTGACTTGTCCAAGGTCCCCTAGTAGCCAAGTGGGGATTTGAACCCTGGTCTTCCAAAGCCCTCATCTAGTGCTCAAACCACTAAACCTCACTAGTTGTTCTTTCACGATGATAGGAAAAACAACAACCCAGCACTGTCCCAGTTTTCTCTCCTGCCTAGTGTAAGTCAACAAGGCTTGCAATGCAGTGAAAGATCTGCTTATGGCATTAGCCTTCATAAACATAGTCCATCAAATGTGTAAAGGCTTACCCTACATTCATATTCACATGTAATGATTTTTGTCTTAATTGTGTGGTCAAATGAAAATGAGATGTACCGGTATAATACTCAGTAAGTGTATTGTAATTACAGGCTTGATCGTTACAGAGAGGCAATTGTTTTGCTTATTGTTAAATTTGAACATAATTGTCAGACAAATGAATCCCAGCTTGTTATCGCCATAGTTCTGTTCATGATGCAGGGAGGAGACAGGTTTCACACTGGTTTTGTGGGGAATCAGTAAACATTACTTCCCCCACCTTTCTCCACAGCAGGACCCTGCTGTATCTTGGTCCCATCTATGAATAGAGAAAGCCTTTCTGTTTGTGTATTCACAAACACACTGGAGCTAACTCTCAATATTTTGGATGTCGTTGTCACCTGAGCCCAGTATAAATTCCTATAGTAGTCTATATACAAACCTGCCAACTAAGGATAACATTCTGTGTGTCTGATGAAGTGGATTCTAATCCATAAAATAATTTTATTGTGTTCCTTCAATTAATTTCTAGATTATGGAAGCCTGTCATAGGTTTTTCTTGACAAGGTTTGCTCAGGGAAAGTTTGCCACTGACTTCCTCTAAAGCTGAGAGACTGTGACTTGACCAAGGTCTCCCAGTGGGTTTCCATGGCCCAGTGCAGATTTGAAGAGGCCTTCCCAGACTCTTAGTCGAACATACAAACTACTACCTCATGCTGGCTCTCCTATAAAAGAATATAACATAATAAATCAGTCTTTTGGATCCTTCCAAGGCTCTCGGGAAATTAGCCATACAGTTACAGTGAGCCCTTGGTATCTGCTGGGGTTTGGGATTAGGGTCCCTCATGGATACCAAAATCCATGGATGCTCAAGTCCCATTATATACGATGGCATATTAAAATGGTGTCCTTTATACAAAATGGCAAAAACAAGGTTTGCCTTTTGGAATTTCTTTTAAACATATGGATGGTTGAATCTATGGATACGGAGGGCTGACAGTATCACCTTTTCTGTTTCTGACAATCCTATTGGAAAAATGTTGACACATGTAGCACAAATCATATCTAAAGACATGGCCATGCTTAAATATACATTAACACTCTTCTTGGAGTGTGGACTTGACAACATGTGGTTTTATAGTTAAGGTGACCCAGAACAAAGGAAGGATTTCTTTAGGTAAAGGTAAAGGTATTCCCCATTGACAAGGTTATCAAGTCGTGTCCGACCATAGGGGCGGTTCTCATCTCCGTTACTAAGCCAAAGAGCCAGCATTATCTGAGACTACTCTGTGATCATGGGGCCAGCATGATTGCAGAAAATGCTGTTTACTGTTTTGTGGTTTTCTTATCTACTCTTTAATAGTTATGTAGAATAGCAGATCTTAGCAAGTATAGGTTTGCTTTCTCCCTGCCTGATCAGCCATGCCTGCTGCCATTTCTGCTTCTACAGAACTAAAGTACAGCACCCCTGTCCTCTTGTACTTCTCATGTCCCTCTCTGTGGACAGTCTGTCCACCTTGAAAAGTGACTCATTGAAGCAACATTTGTCCTTATTTGCAGAGAAGAAATGAACTGGAGGGTGATGCTGACACTGGAGAACTTGGCCCAGCTGCATCGTGCTTGCAGACAGCTGCACTCTCTGGCTAATGGGAAAGTACACCGAACACAGTGGAGGCCTGTCTTGTCATCTGCCTACCCCATGTGCCCGGTTCAGCTGCACCCTCTGTTCTGGCAGCCAGACACAGTGTCACAATTCAGGCTTTTAACCACCAAGGAGGTAATTAACAGCTCCTCTATTTTTCATTCCCAGAACTCCTGTTGTGTGCTTCCAACCTACGAAATGAAAGCCTGTGTTGTTTGTAGAGGGATCTTCAGTGAGTTTTGTTTAATGACGATTAATGCAGAAGAGATGTGTGCAAACGTTTGAACATTTCTGAACAAATTTGTGTGTGCTTTTTGCCCAGAACATCTTGAAACTACAAACCTGGAAGAGAGACCTGTCAGAAACAAAATCTGGCATGATAATGAGGCACAACAAATTGCTTAATTCTTTATCAAGTTCTTTTTAGAACTTGAGGTAAGGAGATGGCGTTGTGAACTTCCTTTATGTTGTGTCCCACACATGATTTCTCAAACCTAGCATCAGCTCCCATTAAATGGAGGGAATGCTGGAGATCTTTGCACATAACTACATGTGATTGCAGCTGTTTTTGCAGATCTGTAGTTGTGCTGAACAAATAATAAAATGTCATTTTTTAAGCTCCTGACATCTGTCCCATTCATCAACTTAAATCCAGCTCTAGGCAAGTAGGGGAGAAGTTAGCAATGTCCTGATGCTGGAAGAATAAAAGAAACCAGAACCCTCTGGAGTTGCCTTATTGTTCCTTATGCTTTGTCAGTTTCAAACCACCCAACATTGTTTGAGATTCTACTTCCTTAGCAGGAAGGTATAAAGCAGACCTCTGATTGTTGCAAACTGCACCCTTCCACACACACACAACCAGAAGTGATCAGAAGGCTAATTCAAGCCCCCAAAAG